AGGGAGGGATCTGGCTCCCCAGAATCCCCTCCCCTGGAGCAGAGCAGCTCTGCACGCCCAAACTTGCCCCCATTTTTAAGCAGCTTTCCTTGGTCATAATCAGGAGGTTGGGATTTGGCAGAGTTGTGCTAGTGTTTCCATGAGATCAGGCAAAGCCACGGTAGCCATGAGGATGGGCTTCCTTCCACCCACCCAGCAGGGCTGGGGGCTGGAACCAGAACCCGCTGCCTCCCCCTGGATCCAGTATTCCTGGAGAGACTGCCACCTCCTCTGCGGTTTGCTGTTTATCGAGGGCTCACTCTGTGCCAGATACTGGCTCAACTCCTAGATGTCTCACAGCGACCCTGTTGAGATCCCCAGGGATGGCGAGGAAATGGAGGTTCAGCGAGGCCAAGTAACCGGCTCACACTCACCCAGCTCCTAAGCCGTGGGGCTGGGACCTGACGTCCTGCTCTATGGGGCATCAGAATCTCCACTCCTTCTCTGTCCTGCAGGCCCAGGCGGCCACAGGCACAAAAGGCCAGAGGGCCCTGTTTGGGGCAGAGAGGAAGGACTGGGGACCCTGGCTTGGTGGCGGGCCCTGCTGCCCTGCTTGGGACCCTCTGACCCCTTCACTGGGCCACTCCTAGGCTCCTCTGGTGTACGCAGCTCTGAGCACCCAGCCTGCGGCTTGCTTTGTCCAGTGTATTCAGCTTGTGTCACAGGGTTGGCTCTGGGAGGGGCGTCTAGTTTCATTTATAACTGGCACAGTGCTTGGCACACAGTGGGTCAGCAAGGCACTTTTGTTGACTAAATGAACAGATGAAGGGCCCCTATCCTGCTCCTCGGGCCCTGGGATCTACTTCCTCCCTCTGCCCACTCTGCCCTGGCTGACATCTGTGTGCAGACTCTAGTCTCGTGTGTATATTTTAAACCAGGGTTTGGACACTAGAAATAGCACATCTGAAAACCACTGCTGTAAATGCACACAGTTGCAAAGATGCTGGGATGTGGGATATGCATACTCAGGCCTGGTGTGGGCCCTGTGGGGCTGTCCGCTAGGGCATGCATTCATGCACATGTGCGCGCACGCGCGCGCACACACACACACACACACACACACACACACACACACACACACACACGGAAACCCCTCGACACAGGGGATGCTGTGCCCCAGCCCCCGGCTGCCTTCTCCTCCTGGCCCCCTCCACTCCCTTCCACTCCCCAGGGCTGGCCTGGGTTTGGAATGCGTAATCACAGGCTTCAGGGCAAATTAGAACAGGGAGTGAACTCTTGTCCCCAACCACAGAGAACAGGGCAGCGTTAGGGGAGGGAGCTGCCACACAGCGGCAGGGCTGACTGCAGGCAAGGGCACATGTGTGTATGCACGTATGTACATGTGAGGACACAGATACTGTTTGGGGTGGGTGGAAGGAGCCCAGGGTTAGGCGTTCAGAGACCTTTCCAACGTCATTTGCTCCCCAGCGGTCCCAGCCTCAGTTTCCTTGGCTGTGAAATGGGAGGAGTACCCTAGCTTTGCTCACCAGGCTCCTGGGGGATCAGTGAAGAGGCTGGGGAGGGGCCTGGTGGACTTTAGCATGGCCTGTGGAACGCCAGGGTGTAGCACTGCAACCTGTCGGGTGGGGAGGGGGCAAGCGACAGATCAGAAGCGATCAGAACACAGATGATAAAATATGACAAAAAGCAACATCTGTCAAGTGTTAACAGTCACTCACGGGACACTGGACCTGCCTCAGTTGTCATGGCAGACAGACCAGACACAGGAAGAAACGGCACTGAGAAGGTTTAAGAGGCAGTTTGTTACACTGGCAGGCCTCACTGGGATCTCTCCTGGAGTCAGAGCCCTGCCCAGCAGGGTACTGCGGCTTTCATGGGGAGAGCAAGGGGGAGGTACAGAGGCATATTTAGTGCATTATGACTGGAAGGCTGGGTGACAGCATAGGTTGTCAAGGGGGTTTAAACATTTCAAGTTACATTGCAAGGCCTTCCGTTAAGCAAGCAAGGGTTACAGAAAGGGAGAAGTGTCCTATTACCAGGTCTGTCTGAACATCCATTTGGTTATGGCAGGCTTTCTTGGCAGGCTTTCATTTAAAATTTTAATTTCCCTTTCAATGTCACAAAAGCTTTACTAAGTAGGGGCTATTGCAACCTGTTTCACAGGCAGAGAAACTGAGGCTCAGAGATTAGAGTGGGATGATCATAATCCTTCCCTCCCAGGGTGGTTGCGAGCTGTGAGTGAGATACGGGAAGGGGAAGGGCTCGCGCGGTACCAGATACCAGGCCATGCCCAGGAGACTAAGGCGTTGGGTACGCTGGGCTCTGCAGCTGGCTGCCTGGATTCTAATCCTGGCTCTGTTGTCTACCTGCTGTGTGGCCTCAGGCAAGTCACTTTAGCCTCTCTGTGCCTCAGAGACTTCATCTGTGAAAGGAGAATGACTGCAGAACCTACCTGCAGGGCAGGGTTTCTCGCCTCAGCCCTGGCTCAGGCGTGGGTCTCCTTACAGTGTGGTACCTTCCTGTATATTGTGGGGTATTCTGTGGCATCCCGGGCCTTGCCCCACTAGATGCCAGGGGCCCTCACTTTCACACAGCCTCGACCACCAAGCATGTCAGCAGACACTGCCCAGTGCCTTGGTCTAGAGTTGCAGGAGGACTGGGTGGGACTGGCCATGCAGGCCCTGAGGCAGGGACCTGGCACAGTAAGCGCTACCTGATCACAGGACAACGTGGTTTATTTTGTGAGTATTATTTCATCATAACCCAAACGCTAATCATGGTCGCTGTGTAACCTGCCAAGGTTGCAGGCCAGCAAGTGAGACCGAGAGGGATTTGAACCCCAGCCTGGCTGACTGCAGAACTCCTGGATGCTGTCCAGGCTGGGGCTCCATGGGGGTGGGGGGCAGGTGTGGACCCCCCCCCAGCTGTCTCTGGCCTTGGGAGCTTCCTCCTGGGGCCTGGGCTTTCCATTAAGGCCCACATGGGGAGCCGGGTGAGGGTACAGGGACTAGGAAAGTGTTAACTGCAGAGGGGACAGGCCTGGCCTCAGGGTCCCCAGTGAGGCGGACAGGCTGTGGCTGGGAGAGTCTAAACCCACCCCCTCTGTGCCTGGGCCCCAAGACCCCCCTCACCGCCTCAACATGACCACCCCCACTCCTGGAGGGCAAGGACCAGAGTCGTGCAGTGGCCACAAGGGCCTGAGAACTCGGATGGGGCCAGGACTGTCACCCTGCAAGGGGACAGGAGCTGATGCCTGCAGGACTCCCACTGGGTATTCCCGCAGAGTGGGTGCTTCGCATGCCTGGGGACTTAGGAGGAGGCCTGGGCACCCTGGTGTTATAGTGGGCAAACCAAGGGCCCAAGAGAGGAAGTGAATCACTCAAGGTCACACAGTGGCTCATTACCAGGCCCATTACCTGGGTCTGTCTGACCTCAGACCTGCACTCCTGACCCTTCCTTCCTCTTTTGGTGATAATAACTGACAGCTCCCAGTTTAACCCAGGCGTACCACTGGATATGGCTGATCTTATTACCACTGCCTGGGACTCTTGGAGAAGCTACTACCATTGTGCCCATTTTACAGAGGTGGAAACTGAGGCCCAGGAGTGCAAGTGACTGGGCCCAAGGACACACTATGTATCATTAGTAGAGCTGGGATAGAACTGGAGCCCAAATGACTCCCAGGCAGGCTGCTGTCTCCCTGCTGGTGTCTGGCAAGCACTCTGACCCTCCATGTATCTGGCTATATCCCACCTCTTTGGCCCAGGTCTTCCCTCATAGCAGCTACAGAGCAAGCCAGGTGGGAACCAGCTTGTTTGTCCCCATATGTGTATGTGTTGGTCGGGGGCCCCATAAGTGAGGGCTTTTCAGAATGTCCCTGGCTCCTGAGTGGGATGGAAAGAGTTCCAGGAAATTGGCCCTCAGTGCCCAGTGCCCAGCCCCACCTGGCCCACAGCATGCTGCCAAGGGCAGGAGGCCCGCAGCCAGCTGTCCTGCCCCTTCTCTGCCCTTGCTCCTGGCTGAGCGTTGGGTGCAGGAGCCAGACAGATCTGTCCCTTCGGGCTGTGTGTCTGCCCCTCCCAAGGCCTCAGTTTCCTCCTCTGAGAACCGGGAGCAAATGACACCTTTGTCTTAGAGCTCTTGGTTCCCGTGGGGTCTCAGGACTGAACAAGAGAGATGGCTCCCTGTGGCCCGGATGCACACAGCCTGGGATGAACTGCTAGTGGGGATGGAGGCTGACAGCAGGGGTGGGAGGGCCAGGCGGGGCTTCCGGGGGAGGAGACAGTTGAGCTGGGAACCCAGGTGGGCAGGAACCACCCAGGCAGAGAGGGAAGGGCCAGGGCTGGGGAGTCAACTCAGAGCTGTGTACCAGGGAGGTCATCTGAAGAATGGAAGCCTCCATGTCCAGCTCTGTGGGACGGGGATCATGATGATGGGGCAGGTCAAAGGCTACTGGTGCACATGTAGGTTCATGTGGGTTTTCTGGGCACCCGCTGAGGCTCAGTGCTTTACCTCCTCTGCGGCAGGCCCTGCACTGGCCTGGGCCTGGGCGATCTCTGCTAACTCACCCGCGAGGCTTAGACACCCTCCTTTCATAGGGGATGAAAGGCCAACTTGCTTAATGTGCTACAGAGGCTAAGTGTGGCACGTGGCTTTGAACCGGGCTCTGGAGCTGGCTCGATGGGTCAGCAGGAGGGTCTGGGGTCCCGGTGTGACTTGGAGGCCCCAGTATGACTCTGAGGTCCTTCATCCTCCTCCACGGTGCTCACGGTAGCTGGCCCGAGGCAGACCTGTGTCTTCAGATTCCTAAAAGAGGCCCCTGTTGCAGTTCCCGCCCGGGGCTGGCTGCCGACCACATCTGGGAGTGGCCACTCCAACCCCTGTCATTACAACGGTGGCTTTGAAGCAGCTGGTGGCAGTGCTGTTTGCTCACGTGGGAGGGGGCTTCCTGGAGCCCCCACACTGGCCCGGCTCTGCCTGACTCCGCTCTTCCCCTGCAGGCTGAGTGGTGCAGACGGACCCAGAGGCAGCATGGCCGATCCTGGTGACAGCCCCCGTGCGGGGCCTGGGGAGCTGGCGGAGCCCCCCGGGGATGACAGTGGCACTGCTGGCGGGGAAGCCTTCCCTCTCTCTTCACTGGCCAATCTGTTTGAGGGGGAGGATGGCTCCTCTTCACCCTCACCGGCTGATGCTGGTCGCCCCGCCAGCCAGGGCGATGGGCGCCCCAACTTGCGCATGAAGTTCCAGGGTGCCTTCCGCAAGGGGGTGCCCAACCCCATCGACCTGCTTGAGTCCACCCTGTATGAGTCCTCGGTGGTGCCTGGGCCCAAGAAAGCACCCATGGACTCACTCTTTGACTACGGCACCTATCGTCACCATCCCAGTGACAACAAGCGGTGGAGAAGGAAGGTCATAGAGTGAGTACTGCTGCCTGCCTGGTCAGGGTCTCCTCCTCTGACTTGGATCTGTCCATCTGTCCTCTATGGATGGGACTGGTGGATGAACATCCACAAATCCATCCATAAATCCATCTGTAATCCATCCATTCGTCCATCCACTAATTCATCCGTCATCTGTCCACCTGTTCATCCATCCATCCATCCATCCATCCATCCATCCATCCATCCATCCCTTTATACAACTATTTACCCATCTATCTCTTCATTCATTCATCAGCATTTTCATTCACCTCATTCTCCATCCACCACCCACCTACCCATCCATCCATTTGTCTGTTCACCTATCCAACCAGCTTTGCTTCTATTCATTATCATCCTTTTATTTTTATATCTGTTGATCTATCCAGCCACCATCTACTTATCTGTTCCCGTGTATCTCCCCTTGCCAGTCCATCCATCACCTTCCACTGACTCACGTATCTATCCACTTACCTGTCCATCTGTCATCTCTCCCAACTGTCCACCCATACAACCTGTCTTCCATTCATCTGCCACTTCTTTATCTAAATGTACATCTGTCCTCCAACCTGCCCACTGTCTGTTCATCCAACCATTCAGCTATCAAATCAAAATCATTCAGAAATCATTCATTCATTATATTTCTAATGCTTGTATCCCTTCCTTTCCCCTCCCTCCCTTCTTCTTTCTCCCCCTCTCCTTTCCTTTCTTCCTCCTTTCTTTCCTAACCAATTAATTTATCCAGCTGTCTATCCATTTAATCACTCATTCATTCATTTGCTTAGTCACTGCTTAATCATTCATTCTCTCATATTTTCACCCATTTTCCCATCTGTCAATCCATCTACTGATCCGCCTGTCCACCTTCTCCTGCTGCTAGAAATCCAAGCTACTCCCTCTCCAGGTGTCACCCGTATTCCCGAGCACCTCCTGGCTTTCTTGGAGCTTGGAGCCATTAACCCTTTCTCCTCCTCAAGGCTTGCTGAGAGTAGAGGGTGGGGAGAAGCCTGTGGGAACTGTGCATGGGCCTTAATTCTTTGCCTGACTGTGCTGGGGACAGGAGCTGGGACCCCCACCTCGCCCCGTTTGGACCCATCCTCCCCTAAGGGGCGCTGCTCAGCTGCACCATGCTGCCCACACTCAAGCCTTTGCCTGGCATCTGCACTTGGTTTGGGTAGCGTCTGGCAAACCAGATGTCTGTCACCCACGGATCTCTGCCCTATGGCGTTGAGCCCTCCCTGGCCCTGTGGGGAGTCCCAGTTTCTTCCCCCAGTCTACAGTCTCATGTCACCTCTTCTCCAGGCTCCTGCTCCTGCTGAGCAAGTGCAGTTCATGATCCTTCCTGGGTCTGGCTCCACTGTCCCTAATGTGCCCCAAACTGACCCAGACTCGGACACCAGCCCCTTTTCTGGGTGGCCTCTGTGTGTCCAAAGTCTGGGGATGTCCAGTTATCCTCAACCCTCACCGATCACAGATCTGATTGCCTTTGTGGTGGCCCCATTCCCTCGGTCCGTGCCTGGCCAGGAGCCACCCCTTTATTTATTCACCAAGTCAGATTCACTCATGAGTATTTCTTGGGTACCTACTGTGTGCTCGGCCAGCTGTGGTAAACCCATGGCACGCATGCCACAGCGGGTATGCAGAGCCCTCTTGTCAGCATGCAAGCCAAGTCACCCCAGCAGCCAAGCATGGGGTAACGATGGTCTTCTCTAAGCTAAAACCCCAGTATTCAGGTTTAGCTGCGTTGTTGGCACTTTGGGTTAAGTAAGTGAGCGCTGGGTTGCAGTCTGGACACTCGGTCTCTGGGAAGTTTGCCTTCACTGTGCTAGGCTATGGAGTTGCCCTGGGTGAGCTGGACCAGATTCTGCTCCAACTCAGATGGCACCTTCAGTGAGTCAGACCAGAAGCAAGGAAAAGCGGGCACAGGAGAGACAATGGAGCCGGCGGAGGCACTGAGGGTGGAGGGAGGGTGGAAGAAGGGTGGCCCAGGAGGGCCTCGTGGTGAGCTGACACTGAGGCCCAAGCTGAGGAAGGGCAGGGCAGCCCCACCTCAAGGAGGCTGCCCCAGGTGTGGGGGGCACGGGCAAGGGCCGAGACGGACATGCCAAGGACCGCAGCCTCCCAGTCAGTCACACTCCTGGACACTCTATGACCCGGCTCGGAGGGGAAACCGAATCCAGGGTGGCAGAGTGCCCCAGTGTCCCTGCCCCTCTGTCTGTCCCCAGGCCCTCCAGGGCCTTGTTGGGTGCCGGGGGCTCAGTGTCTGCTGTCCCTTCCCTCAGCCCCTCCAAGTCCTCACACCTCAGCCGGCACAGTTGGGGGCACCAGAGGGGCCCTGGGGGAACTGAGGTATGGCAGGCTCAGGCCTGGCAGGGGCAGCACTCAAGGTCCAAGCTCAGGGGCCGTGAGATGGGGCTGGCGGATGCCCTGGTTAGCAACTGTCCTGGCATGTGCCCTGTCTGGTGGAGCACGTCTTCCCCAGCAGGGATGCGGAGGACCCCGTTCCCAGCACCTCCATCGGGCCCTGGGCAGTGGAACCAGGGTGAGTGGCTGCTCCCTCCGAGGGCCAGGAGGGCGGGTGAAGGCAGATGCCCACTTCGCCACTGCCACAGCCTGCCCACACCTGTCTCTCACATCACGCTCCCCAGCCACCTCGTCCCACTGCGGCTCTTGGGGTTGTGCTCTGTTCTCGCCCCTCTTCTCCCGCCCGGACTCTCTGCCTCCACTTCTCCCCCTCATCCTCTTTAGGCTACTGAGACTGCCCTCGGCAGGGCGGGAACACGACAGAGAAGGGGCTCCCACCTTACAGCGCCCCAGCGTGGCTCTTGCTCTCCCAGCCCAGTGCACAATAGGTCCTAACTAATGTTTGTTGAATGAATGAACTGTCTCCAAGCCCTCCTCCTTTTGTTTTTTTTTTTGGTACTGGGAACTGGACAGACTCAGGACCTTGCTCTTGCCAGGCAGGCACTTACGCCACTGAGCTACATCCCTGGCCCAAGCTCTTAACATCTGTTTTTCTCTACTTTCTCTCCTCCCTGAACCCTCTCTGGGTGGTGTCCTTTCTCCACCTGCCGCTGTGGTTCGGCAGCTCTCCCTTGCACAGACGAACGACAGATGCACAGTAGGCACTCGGCGGCCATGGTAATCACAACTCACATTTACTGTGTGGT